TTGGCACACATTAATGGTCATTTTGTATCTGAAGCTTACAGTGATCACGGTTCTCTTTCATATTTGTTATCTCCCACGAATCCTACAAAGTATTCATCTTCCTCTATAAATGAGGAAACTGAGGACCAGAGAAGTTAGGTAACTTTCCAGAACCACACAGCCTCGTAAGTCTTCCAGATAGGATCAAACCCAACCCAATCCGTATCCTTACCACTCTCCTTTATTCTGAGGAGGAGCTCAAATGATGGAGGGACTGAGCAGGGGGAGAGGACAGGTGGTCAGGGACTAGATTTTCCTGGAAGGAGGCTGCTGGGACTTCCAGATTGGAAGGCTGGGGAGAAGAGCTTGAACAAAGAACAAGGACTTGCAGGTGGTTATGGGTCAGGGGGAGTGGAATCCTAGATGGGAGGGGATGCGTAATTCCCGAACCCTCATTCTGCTCCCTTCCCCCCCACCCCACTCCTGGTCATTCTGCTCCCCCTGTGATAAGGAGATGTGGGAGATTTCTTGAGCAAGGTCGGGGGAGGGTTTTTTACAGCAACTTCTCTCATTCACTAAGGAATCCATCATAGCCATGCACCTCTTATATCTATGTGGTTAAATTAGCAACACACATTTGTTACATGCTGTCTGAACCTTCCTACAACATTGCATTTCTACATATTACCCACTTCTACTAAACTTTCAAAACTTGGAGACTTTCCCAACACCCCACCCCCTTGAGAGTGGGTACTCTGACAGTGCGGGATGCTGAGAATCAGAAGGCATCATACATTACGTACAGTCATATCCATACAATTAGCCATCCATCGTGTTTTGAGTGCCTCCTACAATCCAGGCAAACTGCCTGGCACTAGGGATAAGCAAAGGAATTGATCAGTCTCTGCCCCAAAAGCTCTAGTGTGGAAGACAGTACATAAACAGGCAATCACAATACATCCTGGTAGGGGCTGTGACCATCTGGGGGCTGGGGGGGGAAGGGCACCAGGGAGGGATGTCTTATCCACGTTGGGGTGGGGGCACGAAAAGTTTCAAGGAAGCTGAGTTCCTTAGACATTATGGCAAATTAGGGCAACTGAAGGGAAGCTCAATCTGGCTACACAGAGTAGGAAGGGATTTGAGGGAGAAATGAGGCTAGGAAGAGAAGCAGGGGTCAGACTGTCAAGAGTTTTTAAATATATACTATTTTGTTTTATTTATTATTTTATTTTTTTCCCTACAGCACACGTAACGGGTAAAACGTGTCCACCAGCAGCCTGGTGAGAGGGTGCAGTTGCAGAGATGAATTACCTGTGTCAGGCTGAGATACAGTCCTGTCCTCTCCCTCCCAGTTTGAGATTCATGATGCTCATTAAGCATGTGGATTTTATCAGTAAGCCTTGGATAAATGACTCCGTCAGACTAGGTGTGTTTTCTTATCAGTCTGTCCACTCATGTGCTAATTGGAAGTGTGAGTTCTCAGATCGACTGCCGGATTCTAGCCTTGACTCCTACCATTCTCAAGTTGTGTCACCTTGTACAAGTTGTCCCCCCTGGTGGGGAAACTGGATCAGTATTACTGCGGTGCCTCCATCGAAGGCTCACTCAGGCTGGAAGGAGGTAACGCATATTAAGCTCCGGGAATAATGCCCGGCACACAGTAAGTGATAAGTAAATGGTGACTTTTGTGGTCCTCCAGGTCCCCTGCAGCCTAACCGTGTTAGCAATCATCCTCTTGGTCACCGGCATCCCCATCATCATCACCCCTCCCGCCATCATTCCTGGTATCATTGTAACGATACTGAAATTCTAGGAGGTCATTCCTCACTGGGTTCCTCCCCTCCACTGACCCTCCTTGTGGTATTCTTATGAAAGGGAAGGCCCTACGTAGACGGATTTGACTCACGTGAAATTCATTACGTTTATTGAGCTCCTACTATGTGCCAGATATTGTGTTCTAGGTACTAGGGAATCCAAGAGTGAGCTCAATAAAGTTTTCAGGCATGGAACTTACACTCTAATGAGAAGAGGCAGACAATAATAATTACATAAGCAGAGAAAAACAAATACTCTAGAGAAACATGAAGCCAGGGAAGATGGACAGACAGTATCTTGGGTTGGGCAGCTGTTATCATCTATCTTCCAAGAAAGAGTTCCCCTCCTGCACGGAGCTACAGAATTTGGAGTTGGGGAGTTCCTGGGGGTGGGAACTGCTGAGACCATGTCCTAACACTCCAGAGCCAGCTACAAAGGAGGCCCCCACTTCGAACACACACCCTGTTTGCAGGGCATTCCGGCCCACGTCTTGGCCTCTGGGGGTCTTGTCAACCTGGAACCGAGAAGAGGCAATCAACAGTAAGTAGTAACAGGGGCTTTCTGCTTCGGCATTCCAACAGAAATACAGGAAACCAAGAGGGCTGCAGGCCTACAAATCTCTGCCTTATCATTTATGGTCCATGCACCCTGAGGATGTTCAGAAGTGTCTTCGCACAAGCTGAGGGAAAGGAAAAGATGTCTCTAGCTCTTCCTCCTCTTCTCCACCCACATTCCTGACCATCTAATATGCTTTAGGGAGGAAGAAGAGGACAAGGGATAGAGGTGAGAAACTCTGGGTGTCGGGGGGAGCAGGGAAACCTCCTCCACATGCATGCTGTGCTGATTCAGAGGATGGGCTAGGAGAATGGAAACCTCCCAGCACCACTTTTTCCTGCCCTAGAAGATTCGACGAGGCACTCCTCTCCTCTTGGTGCAGCCAAACACCACGGCAGAACACGCTTCAGAGGAAAACACTGCCTGCTTTCTCAGGTCAAACACATCAGAGCCTGTGGTCTATAAGCCACATAGGGGTGCTGGGAGTGCCAAGAAGTAATGATGAAAGAAAATGGGTTGAAATCTAGACATTGAAGCTTTGTGTAGCTCTGCTTTGCTCAGTGACTCTGCAAGCTGTATTAGCTACCCTCTAATTCCCTGAACCCTGCTATGTGCCCTGCATCATACGCTGTCTCTCAGCGACCCGGTGAGGTAGTTCTTATTACCCACCCCTCACAGATGAAGACACAGAGGTTCAGAGAGGTCACGCTCTTCAGTCAGTCATGGCAGCTGAATTTGAACCCACGTTAGTCTATTTGGGAGTCGGTGTCTTAACCATTATACTTCACTACTTCCCAGAGGAAAGAGTCAAGAGGGAAACAGTGAAAATAACAACACTTTCCTCCCCCACCTGCTATGTTTCTGGTGCTCAGCAGAGGCAGAAAATTGAGAAATCTTCCATGTGTTCTGGCATAAGTTCTGTCTCAACTTTAAAAAATGTGAATATTTAATTATTTCTGATACCAGATATGACTATTTTTCTCTAGGAAACAGATTAATAGAATGAGAAAGGTCTTTAGAGATGCCAAAGAGCTGACCTTGAAATCCACGGAGAAGGTTAAGTACACTTCTCCAGGGCACAGTTAGGTTGGTGGCAGAACTAAGGTTAAAAGAGCAGTGCTCCTGTCTCCCAGGCCAGAGCCTGGAGGAGCCCCCAAAGCTGCTTTGCAGGTTATCACTGCCCTAACAGATGACCGCTTGAAGGAGGATGACTGCTTTGTTTGCACACTAGGGATTTTAAACACAAGCTGAACTCAGCTGAACAGTTGTTAAACAAGGCTCTTCTGGCCCCTTCTGATGAGTTAGTCTCTGCCATCTCCTTTCCTAGGTCATGTGCTCTTTTGAATTAGGAGATTCCTGCGATTTCTCCTTGTAATTACCTGGAGTGGATGTTCCTCTCTCTCTGGGGCAGATGGTTGTATTTCTAGTTCAGAACCTGCTGTCATTTACTCTGGCCTCCCACACTAATACTGACTCTTCTGTCTGCCTGGCTGGCTTCTGCCAACCTCTGCAATCTGGACCCATTCCACCCAGCTCATCTTTTTCTTCCCCATGTCGTGACACACACTACTTCTTGTCAGATCGCAGTCCTGGGCTTACCCTATTTCTGCCACAGAAATATCCTCCGTGCTCTCCCCCTGTACAAATCCATTCTTCAAGGCTTTGCTCAGACCCTCCTGCCCCAGATTTCCCCATATACCTACAGCCCTGGATGAGCTCCCTTGACATTTATTTTCTCAAGCACATAATTTGACCCTCAAAATGTTTCCGCACATTCCTCCAAATGTAATGCAGGCCCCTTGAGGGCAGGCCCACGTGTTCATTGGTTCCCTAGAGACTTTTAAAAGCACCTCATATGGTGAGATACAAAGAGAGATATAAGTGATGGTTGCTTCTCGTCCTGGAGGGGAGACTAGTACTTTGCAGACATCTGTCTGGTGCATATCGTACCCTCCACAAAGGTTTGTTTTATTGAACTAACATATATGATGCCCCTTATTGCAACAAGAGGTGGCGTTATAGGGAAGGCATCATGAAAGAAGTGACATTTGAACTGGGCCTTAAGAACAAGGAATGTTACTTTAAAAACAGAATTGGCAGAAGAAACCTTTTCCGACAGCCGGCTGCCAGGCACACACACCGCCAGGCACAAAGCACACCAGGTTCAGGGGGAAAGCAGCGGAGCTCTGTCCCTGCCCCAGCACCAACTAGCCTTAGTGAGAGTGGGCAGGTTGCTTAACTTCCCTGCCCCCTCCCCTTTCCTTCCCACTCCAAAGTAGGATGGGCTCTGGAAGAGGTCGTTCAAATCATAGCTGTGTGACCTTCAGCCAATCAGCTGGGGCGGGGGCTCAGTTTCCTTCCAATAAGACGGATAAAAATCTTGCCTTGCAAGGTTTTGTGAGGTTTTAAGAACATATTTAAGTTGCTAAATGCAGAGCTTGGTGTTACTGTATTTCCTTCTACCAGAGTAGGGGTGACAACCCCGATCTGCCTCCCTCTCCTGGCGCCGCCCCAGGTTTCCCAGCACACAGCACAGAGCCTGTCCGTTGTAGGGGCTACGGATAGACTGCAGGACCCCTAAAGGGAAAATGGAGTTGAAAGAGCTTCAGAAAAAAAAAAAAAAAAGTAAATAGCATGGATAGTGGACTTACCAGGGAAGGGGGATGCTCAATAAATGCGTTTCCTTGAATAGACTTTGTGCAGTCCAAGAATCTTTGCTAACTCTCTCTAAACATGCCTCCGCCGAGCCAACTGGTTTCTCGAAGCTCCTTCTGCCTCCGCCTTCAAACCCCCATTAAGAGTCAAGGCCCCACACGGGTCGGGCTGGGAGGGTGTTATGGGGAGGGGCGGGATTTCCCCAAGTCCCTAGAGAAAAGATGGGGGGCGTAGTCAGGTTCCCGCCTCCTTCCTCCCATTCCCGGGGGCAGGGCTCCTGGGCGCCCCCCCCCCTTCATTTCCTCTCTCAACAGGTCGGAGGGAAGGGACTCGAACTTGGCCCAAGGCAAAAGCTCAACCCCAGCTCTCCTCCCTCCGACCCGCCTGGCCACCCCCACTTCAGCCGCCTATCCCCGGGGCCCTTGTGGCACCCGCTCAGTCGCCAGTCCCGGCCCCGCCATCGACCCAGACCTGCGCCCCTCCCTTTGGTCACCTCGACTCCCGGCCCCCGCCTGGGTAGACCCAGGCCAGTTGCCCTCCCTACTTCGGCGCCTCCTGCCCCCTCCCACTCGGCCACTTCAGTCGCCTG